ATAATGACTTGGGAACTTGTAAAAAGTGAAACTATAAGGCGGAAATAATCAGATAAAATAGTAAAAAAGTAATCTTTGTTGCCTGAGAAAGGACAGGTAAAATTAGGTTGAGGGTTGGGATGAAGTGTTATGTTTTGAACCTGTGAATTTTAGGTAACTCATAAAATTCTGCGAATATTCTCGCTGTTCTGATTTTTGTAATAATCAGGGCAGGCTAAACATTCGCTATATTAAGACCATGCATGGTGTCCCCAGACCTAGTTCTTTCCCTGGGCCTGGTTTTATAAGTGCTGGTGATAAACCCAATCTGATTTACAATATGATCATTTTGTATGACCATATTATGACTATGATTCTACATTATCTTGATCTACCTTTTGAAAAATGATAGTACAGCTAGTGGGGTAACTTGCAAATAATCAATACTAAGTTGCAGACTTGTCTAAAAGAACATGTAAACAAAATACAGAAATTTTGTTACTACCAGTTGCCATTAAATGTATTGTAAAATTACTGTTTTTATTTTCTAGGTGATTCTGATATCATTAGAAGCATGCCAGAACAGACTGGTGAAAAGTAAAATGTGTAAAATTTTTCTTTAATAAAACTTGGCAGAGTGTGTTTTAAAAACACTGCATTCATTTTGGTTATTTTCTTTGTGTCTTTTAGTTTCTGAAAACCTTCCTGGAGGTAATATAGAGAGGCAGAGGGGGGAGCTGGATGTGACAAGACTTTGGGTAGAGACTTATACATCATAGTTTCCATTTTCTTGTTTTTCTAAAGGGAAAGCATTGAGTATCCCTTACCTGAAATGCAGAAGACCAGAAATGTTTTGCAGATTTTGAAATATTTGCATATACATAATAAAATCTCAGAATGGGACCTGAGTCTAAATACAAAATTCATTTGTGATTTATATACAGTATTTTTTAAAAAATATTTTTAGTTGTAGGTGGGCACAAGTACCTTTATTTTGTTTAGTTTTATTTATGTGGTGCTGGGGATTGAACCCAGTGCCTCATGCATGCTAGGCAAACACTGTACCACTGAGCCACAAAACTCCAACACGTATACAGTATATTTAATAATTTTATACATGAAACAGTTTGAGATCATGGATATTCTACTTATGTCAGTTCTAAGAAAATTTCAGATTGAGGATGTTCATATACTAGGTTTTTAAGAGACTTAATTTTCATAATTCTAGTCTGAGGATATTATTTGCATTTTCATATTTGAATGTGTTTGAGATGCTTTGAGGTTAAACAGCCAGAATTACAAATCTGAGTAGTAAGATTTAAGTGAAATGTTTCCCCATCTAGAGTGTTTTCATAGGCTGAGGAAAGTACTATTGAACTTTAATGAAGAGATAGAAGAAATATATGTGGATGACTTAAGAATAAGCCCAGATCTTCATAAGTTTTGTCAAATTGCTGGGATGAGTTTTGTATCATTTAGTCCTAAAAGACATGAAGTATGTTTGGTGTTGAGATTTTGGGGAAAATGTATACCATATACCTCATAGAACCCCTTCCCCACATATATTAATGTACTTTGGGACATTAAGAGGAATTAATTTGGGGGAAAATATTGACGCTACATCCTCACTTACCAAGTTGAATGATGCTAATAGAATATATGCCCTGTGCAGTCTGCTGGACTTTGAGGGAAACTATAGAAGTGTCAGAAATTACTGTCTTGGGGCTGGGGATGTGGCTCAAGAGGTAGCGCGCTCGCCTGGCATGCTTGCGGCCCAGGTTCGATCCTCAGCACCACATACAAACAAAGATGTTGTGTCCGCCGAAAATTAAAAAGTAAATATAAAAAAAAAAAAAAAAGAAATTACTGTCTTGGATTTAGCAGTCTCCCATCTTCCCTCTTTGGCCTCACATCTTTTCAGGCAATTTTTGATGATAGACAGGAAAAGAGGATGCCTTACGTTTACTGTCCAAAAGGTCAGCCATTTACTGAACTTAGAGTCAGGGCTATCTCTTAATAGGTATATAATAACATTTTGTTATATATTGTGTCATTCCCCTTGGGTTTATTTTAAGGTAACATCTGATCTTGGTGTTAAATCAGAGGTTGTAGATACACTTTTGGAGAGTAGCTATTACTAGAGTGGTTGTTACTCTTACATTTTGGGAGCATACTGATGTTTGACAATGCAGTTCTTTGGGAGAGCTGAGGATACTGAAGCTGTTTTTTATTCCTGGTTTCCCTTCCATTTCATTGAAACATAACCACCAAATATCACGTCCACCTTTTTAGATTAGCATATCTTGTTAAGAGCCATTGGGTTACATGAAAAATCTTAAATGGTATAAGGTGTTCATGTTTACATATTCAGAGACTGGTATTCTTAAATTGTTTGAAATCTTTGTCTTTGATAAGAATTGCTTGGTCCGACTACCATAATTCAAAATTTTGCCTCTTGGTTAAGGAAGTATGTGCTTCTTATATTTGCTTTGTTAATTTTTCCCACCAATGAGAGTTCCACCCTATTGAGTTATTTTTAGATTATTTTCCCCTCTAGTTTAACTTGTTCTAATTTACTTTAAAAAGTGTGGGAATCTTGGGGGGCTGGGATTGTGGCTGAGTGGTTGAGCGCTTGCCTTGAATGTGTGAGGCACTGGGTTCGATTCTCAGCACCACATATAAATAAAAAATAAAGATCCATCAACAACTAAGATGAGTAAAATAAATAATTTTTTTTTAAAATGTGGGTTCCAGTCTACTATATCTTTGCAGTGTTTTTATGATACAACTTCTTGGCTGTGCAATCTTTCTGTAAAAGTTTAAATAGGAAACATTTCCTGGCCTGAGATAAAGTGCCATTAAACTGCTGCTGGAGAAAATGCCATTAGGACTGTCTAAAGTGGCATTTTCTTTTTTGATTGCAATAAAAATAATGTGTTTGCCTCTAAAACAAGAGGAACTACAGAAAATCCCAGCCAGCTGAATTTACTCCATACCTCTACTGTTAGGAATAGAGATAGCTGTCCCAATGAAGAGGTTAGCTGTTGTGAAGTGTAACAACTGGAATTGGTACAGGATGGCGGCAGGAACAAAAAGTTATAAAAAAATTAAGTTTTAGGTTGGTCATAAATGCATGACCAGCTGGGTAATCTGGAAGATGATCATCTGGAGTTTTTGGTCTGCTGTCACATCTACAACTACCAGCTCCCATTCTGCATTTCTGGGCCTACCTGTACTTATTCTGAGGATAAGTTCAGCATCATCTTTCAGTCTAGATTAGGTGCCTCTGAGTTACCTTAAAACCTATTTTATGGCATTAATATCTGCCTCTCATTAAGCTAAGTTCTTAAAGATGGTCTCAATTTTGTCACCAAAAACTATTAGAGTGAATAATATTTTCTAGTGCTTAAACAATGACATTAAGCTTATGACTGTCCAGAATTTTATCTTCATCTAACTGATGGTACTTTTTCAGTAATTTAGTGCATTTACTGTTAAATTCATTGCCTTCTGTTTTGTTCAAAAGATAATGTAGGGGAGGGAACTACTAAAGAACAAAAGCAGAAACAATTCATTCTCACTCATACACTTACCATCTCTGGGTCAGATGCTGTTAGCTGCTGAAGAATAAAAACATAATAGCTCATATTGAGCATTTGAAAGGTTTGGGTCCTTTTACTAAATGTATACAATCGATCCTTTGACAACACGACAGTACTGTTATTTCCATTTTAACAGATGAAATTAAGACAGGTGATAAATGATAAAAGTGGAATGCAAAACCCTTCATGTAAAAGTTGCAAAAACAACAAATATTTTATATTTGAGGCATTCCCTAAGTTAAATATCTTGGATTAATCTGTACATTTTGATGCTTTGGTTGGAAGCCTTTGTTTTCCAGTTTTCCATGAAACTGCCTCTTTTCCGCACCAAGTTGTAGAAATATTTAATAGCTTAAAAGAGGAAGGGTAGTCTTGAGCCACTAGAGGGAGCTTGAACACAACAGAATGTAAAGTCAAACTGAGCAAACTAAGCAGTGCCTGAACTGGTTATATCTCAAATAATGTGAATCCAAATCAATACAGCTTCCTAACGAAAACGTCTATATTTAGGGTCAAATAGGTTTTTCAGATAAGGTTGAGGCCTTAAGAGATGTTCTTCCCATTCTGCCACACTGCTTTTTGGGAGCTTATTCTGATGTAAACACTTGTCTTAAGATATTTCAGTATAGATTTATCAAGTTTTGTTTATAAGACATCATTTGGATTCTTAAAGTGTAGTGACTTCCTTGGGGAAAGATGACTTTTTGTCTTTGTTTCTTGTTCAGTTTATCTTCCTAAGCAGACATAGTTGAAGTCCTTTTTGACTATTCTCACTTCCTTATTTTCCTCATTAGATGTCTATCACTCTGGAATATTTTCTGTACTTAAATATACATGTTAGTGTATTATATCAGTTCCCCTTCTGATAATGTTTAGGTTTTTGCTAGTATGTTGCTTTTACAAACTCTAGTAGCATTCTTGTACAGGTCTCCTTGTATGTATGTACTAAAATCATTGAGTAAGTCCTGCTACAGTTACGGGGTTTCCTGCATTTTTAGTTTCATTTGGGGCAGGCAGATTTATTCTGCAAAGAGACTGCCAATTTGCACTCTTCTTAGCAGTGTATAAAAGTCTTATAGTTCCACGCCTTAAGAACACTTGACAAACTTTCATTTTTGCCACTAGTAGAGTAAAAAAAAAAAAGGTTTTTGTTTTACCCTGCATTTCCTAATCACTGAGATCAAACTTTTTTTTAAATGCGCATAATTGGCCATTTTCATGTATACATATCTTGCATGTAAAATTAAGAATTTGGGGGGTTGGGGCTGTAGCTCAGTGGTAGAGCACTTGCCTTGCAAGTGTGAGGCCCTGGGTTTGATCCTCAGCACCACATAAAAATAAATAAATAAAGACATTGTGTTCATCTACAACTTAAAAATATTTTTTTTTAAAAAAAATTAAGAATTTTGCACAGGATGCTATTCTCTGAAGTGATAAATTTTAATATTGTATAAAAAAATTCAACTTGTTACACAAGTACATATGTCCTATTATTTTGTGCATACATCCATATACATATATCAAGGTAAAGTCCAATACAAAAAATTAGCATTTCCTATGGCCAGTGTTCTAAGAAGTAAGACTGCAAAATATTTTGTAGTCGATGAGATTACAACACTAAGGCAGGATGAGGCAGAAGCAAATTATATCCACAGAACATTACAAAATACCTTGCATAGCTTATTTATTCTTATGGTAAACTCATCAAAATTCTGAAGTTCCCCTCCCCTAAATAAATTTATACAAGTTGGTATTTTATTTTCTTTGTATAGTAAACCAGCTTCCTCTGAACTGGTTGTGTTTTACTTCCCAACATTATAGACCTAATAGCCTGAGCTTTGGGGCTCTGTGCTGCTTCCATTGCAATTCTTGATACAGTGACATAAGGATGTGTGGAGTGTTTCTAGTCTTCATCTGTATCTCAGGCGATTTTCCAAGGCTTCCATTCTCTGTGTCATTTCTTCTAGTAAATCTCAAATTAAGGAAGAGGGATCTGAATTGCATATTTTCATTGACATTCTAATACAACTTGATTTATCTAAATAAAATTTTGTCCTGAAATATCAAAGGCTTTGAGCTTAAAAAAAAAAGAATTCTTGTCAAGTATTTTAAAACCCTGATTATAAGTTTAAGAAACTAATTTAACACACTTTCAAGACAAATATAGTTCAAGTTAAGTTCATTTCTAAAGACAGAGCCATCCCACTGTTATATGTAATCATTATATACACACACAAATCAAGAAATAGTTTAAAATTTTTAACTGATTCAGATTTTTAATGGCATTCATACCCCTGTTGCTTGTAAAAGAGTTTGCTATAGCACACCTCTGGGAACCAGAAATGATAATGTTGGGGATGTTGTAAAGAGAAGAATATGAAAGATTAGGACTTGAAAAGTAATATATAAAGTCAGAAGAGAAGAGAGGGAGTTTTCACCCATGATACGAGGTAAGGCTAAAAGGAAGCTTCCTGGAGGAATTTGATCTGTGCTCTTTTCATTCATAACTTTAGTCTCTTGGGAAGTAGACCTTCAGAGGTGGAGTAGAAAGAGAGAAGAGGCATTAAATCAAGTGTCTTCCCAGGAAGCTCCTTAATGCCATCTACCTGCCCCTTTGGCAGAATGGGAACCCAGATTCATCGTCTATATTAACCACTGTCAAAAAAATTGTTCTGTTTTACTTAGGGGAGCCTGTTTGCAGCTTTTAGAAGGGGAATTGCTATGTGCTGTTGTTTCTTATTATACAAGCCCCTTGGCCCAGTGGTAGTTCAGAATTAAACCATTTCCCTATAGGCTAGTTGATGCACGCCGAGATACATATCAGCCAGCTTTAGTAAGCTTACTGTAATTTTAAGTTCAGAGCAGTTGGCAGTGTGATCAATGTGTAAAAAGCACTGAATCCTCATTTCTCTATTATCCTAAAGCATTCCTTTTATTTATAATATTGTTTTAATGAATCATTGGATCTTACTGTTCCCTTGGTAGAATGTTTCATCTTCTAGAGTGCTGATATAAAGCTATCTGCTGCCAAAAAAATGAGAAGAAAAAAAAAGCCCAATAAAAGAGAAATCCTTTAGAAACTACACATTGAATCCAAATGTGGCTGCTGTGCAGTTTATGGCCAAAGAAAAGGTTGGGGGTTTAAACTGAGTTTGAAACCTCTTAAGTCTACCACATTCTCTACCTAGAGACACTGTACCTTTGATGCACTTCAGATCCAGTACATATCGTCCTAGCAGAGAGGGAATTAAGTCCTTTATTTTATTTTCTTACATATTGCATGGTTGACTAGCATTTCTGCTAATCCTCCTAGGACAGCAGATGGCAACTAAATGCCTGACACTAAATGCCTGACACTTGCCACTAAGCCTGGCTGACCCTGTGTTGGCATGGCAATCTTCTTTTTTTTTTTAAGAAAAAGCTTTTCCTGGAGCTCACTATCCTCAACTTCCTGGGAATAATTTCACCTGATAAAAGCCATACAGAGCATTTGTGAGTTTTGGTAATATTCTTTGCATTCCATATGCAGCATAACACTAGAAAAGGATATAGCGCTGTGTTAATTTTTTTACTTCTTCATTTGCAAGGTTCTGGAACATTATGAGGTTTTCACATTTGCATTGATCGTGTTTTTCTTCCAGAGGGCTTCCTGAGAAAGCAGATGGAAAGTGTTCACCTCTGTCATCCACCAAACGTCCAGACACATAATAATAGGATTGAATCATCATATAGAGAAAACCGTAGTGAAAGAAATGTTCCACTTTTTCCACACAGTCAGATCCAGTGAAGTAAATACCAGGAAAGGACTATCTATGCTTCTAGCACTGAAACAGGCCTTAACTGTGGATTAGGGGACAGAATACTGTTTCTCTTCTTTTTTTTTTTTGTTCTCATTCTATTTAAGTTCTCTTTCCTCCTTCCTATTTTCTTTAAGCCAAGTTTTTTGGCAAGTTGCAATGCTGTTATCAAATTATAGTAACTATTTTACTTGGAATTACCTGAAGATTTTGTTGAGTGGAAAAGTTTTTGTGTAGACCGTGAAAGATGGTCTTCTTCAAATAGATATCTATGTTGCACTGCAAAATTAGAACAGGAAAGTAGGTCTTGGATATTTATGGTGACTGGCTCAGATTCTGTAAAGAGAAAGAAAACTGAAGTCAAACCTGCTTAACACCACTGTGGTCTAAAGTAGCCAGCAGCACAATAAGGCGCTTGCTATTCCTGCCACCTAGTACAGAGCTTTACTTTGATATACTGAGGCAAAAAGTCTATTAGCAGAGCTACTAGTTACCAAATTACAAACTTGAAGTATAAATTTCCTTGTTACAGGAAAAAAGGCCTCAGTTAACATAATTTAAATCTTTCTTACTTTCATTATTTTACAACTTTTATTGGGAGAGAAACCATGGCAGAAACACCCACCAGAGATTCTGAAAACATTGTTTTAAAAAATTACCTGTTGGCTGGTGGACCCTCTTTGGCAGTTCCCCTGCTGGGGAGTCCTGTCTTCCATCAGAGTCTTCTAGAGCTGAGTGGAAAGAGGTGACCAGAAGGGATAACAGTTTTCCATACCCATGCATGTGCTTGAGGAAGCTAGTCTCAGACCAACTCCTTACCTCCTGCCATAACTCAGGCTTGGTTTGGTTTGTTTTTATTGGTAATACCAAATTCTCAGAAAAGCAGTTGTTTACTGTTATAATCGATGACCATTTTAGGGCAGTTCTAAGAGAAGCCTTCTCCCCTTATGTATAGCTTCTAAAGAATGCTCCCCCACATCCTCCCAAAAAATAAAAAACATATCTAGAGTGAAGGGTAGAAAAATGGTTAAATTTGTTGAATCAAGTTGAAATGCCAGCAATCCAACTCGAGAGGGCATTTCAACATGAACAAAATGGCCAAGAGGCAATGTATGATCTACTCACAGGAATCTGAAAGACCTTCCCTCCCTGGTCCCCCTTTATCTCAGAGTTTTCCTTTAGAGGATTAAGACACATCACTTAGATTGGATTTTAGAGGTGATTGTACCTGGGGCATGAGTAGGAAGAAAAATGGACAGAACTACCATGTACAAGCCTACTTGGCACAATTAGTGGATTGTGGAAAAACATTAAGAATTCAAAATTTGAATTCTAAAGGGCAGTCTAATAATATTCTATACACATGAGTTGTCCATGCAGAAAAGCATTCTTTGAATTTCCAACAGTGAGCTTGCAAGGATAACCATCACTTTCCACTCCAAATTACAGGCATATTTTGAAATTGCACCTTTTCTCTCCTGGTTTATATAATGATTGTTTCCTGCTACACGATCACTTTTCTAAGGCTTTGGTGAGGATTAAGTAGGCTGGCACCTCCTACTATTTATCACACCGCTCTGCACAGAGCAAGTGCTCAAGCTGTGGTAGTTATCAGTTTTGTCTTTCCCTCTCTTCTGTTCCCTTTTTTATGATTACTGATTCTAAGTACCACTGACCCTGACCACCAGGAGGCACTTTTTTGATTATGCTGAAAGAATGGGTTGAGATTCCTTCTTTGATTGTTCATACTGGCCTTTCCTAGATGCTGCTAGAGTACCTTCACAGATGCCTTTCTTTAGCTTTTCACTTATCTCGCCCATTGAACTGAAGTCTTCTGCATAGAAGAGATGTTTGTCAGTAGGCTCAGAGGCAATCTCCTGTAGTTCTTCCTCAATGGCTTTTCCAACCCCAACAGCATACATAGTGATACCTAGGAAGCAAAACAGGTAAGAACAAGGCAGTTAGGGATTTGCATCCCTGCTCTGGAAGTTATGTGTACTACATCCAAAGTCAGCTAGATATTAAGTGATGTGATTGAGGGAGGGGTCCATACCAACACCCCTTTGTTTGTATTTTCCCTCCATTTTGCTTTGGCCCTATGAACAAAAGAGAGGGACCCTAAAGAGAAGTGAGGGATCTGGGAGAGGTTGGGTACCCAACATGTTGCTCAGCTTCAGGGAGAGTTATTTAACAGATCTGCAATTTTTCCCTGAATTATCCTTCTGGATAAGTAGAAAAGAACACCTATCTTATGGCTATTAAAATAGGGATCTCTTCTGGAAGAATTTTAAGAAGCAGGACAATTTATGATCTTATAACCAAGATAGGAACCTTCAATAATCTAGGGTCAAGTGAAACTGCCTTCTGCCTGTTTTTCTTAGGAGGACACAATCTTACGAGGAGACGGTAAGCTGAGGAGGAGAATCTGCAGATCACTGGAAATCCCCAGTCAAGAGAACAAACCTAAATGTTAACATTAGATTTCTTTTTTTGTTTGTTTGTTTTTTGGAACTTTACCACTGAGCTACATCCATAGCCATTTTTATTTTTGGTTTTGAGAAAGAGTCTAAATTACTAAGTCTGGGCTCAAAGTTGCAATGCTGCCTCAGCCTCCCAAGTTGCTAGGATTACATGCATGTGCCTGGCTCAACATTAGATTTCAAAAGGGGTATGAATTTTCTCCAAAAGCTTTTCTAAATCAGATTAATCATTCTTCCCCCTTCCCTTGTATACTGTGCATTTGAAAGTAAAATGCAATAAGAATTAAGCTCTCCTTGTTTTCCAACAGTTTTCAGAACTGATATCTTTTTTTTTTTATTAAGTTGTAGATGGACACGATACCTTCATTTTATTTATTCTTTCTTTTTTCTTTTCTTTTCTTTTTTTTTAATGTGCTAAGAATCAAACCCAGTGCCTTTCACATGTTAGGCAAACGCTCTACCACTGAGCCACATCCCCAGTCCAGCACTGATAATTTATTCTGGCCAATTCATTAGACAATATTTCTTAAACGCACATAAAAGTGGCTCTGAAATTCAAGGGCTGAGAGTTGTGACTTGTTCTAAGTCTGTGTAAGTTCAACAGCCAAGGTCAGCATATTTGTCTAAGAGCCTAATGACTTTACATACAACTTCCTAAAAAGGGTAACTATTTTAGGATTATGTTAACTATATATAGAAATAATTAAATTCATGTGAGGATGTTACTTCCGATAAACCTTGTTTGAAGAACCATATATCTCCTATCACCCACCTTTGGGTAATGTGTGGAAACTTGAGGGGCAAGTGTAAGATAAATTTCAGTAAGTCAAGTGAAAGGGCTAACCATTGTTCCTAGACACGAAAATGCTTTTCCTGATGCTTTTTTAAGAACACAGGCTCTAGAGGGGCGGATGGGTTAGACATTAATTCTAGCAATCTAGTCTAATGTGAACAGCCAGTTTTACAGTCCACCCAGCTGATTCAGAGCTGGACACTTTTTCTGGCTCCCACTCTCTTAGGCAAGGAAGCAAGGAGCAGACTGTACAGTAAGCAATGTCAATAAAATAGTCTCCTTCACAAAGAGAGTAGTTGAGGTCAGTGTGAACCGGCCTTTCTGTAGGAGAATGGAGCTCACCAGTGGAGCTGGGAGTACTTTAACTACTGAGCAATTGTCATGCATCTTCTGCATGCCCAGTCCGATCTAGGCACTACGCCCATAAAGTCTTGGGTGAGGCAGTGTTCTGTGTCTCCCATTTGTCCCATTAGAGGATCTGCTGTGTCCTCAGCAAGTACTTGCAGGAGGTGGCTTGCAAGCACACTGCTTCACAACCTCAAGTTTCCTCATCTCCCCTGAGGAATCCACACCCTTCACTATAAACTGTCTCTACCAGTCATCCCAGCTTCTGGTTGTCTTTTGCCAAGGGCCACACTCTTCTACACTTCGCATCCACACAACAGAAGAAACACTCAAATCCCTGCCTGCATTATACAGGAGGTCAGGAAAACCTCAAGAGGAGACTGAGCTTTACTGCACAAAAAGAACTTAGTCATCATCCTTCCTAGCATTTTGATTTTCTTTTTCAAAAGCTAACTTTCTCTTCCTGCAAACACAAAAATGTTCTCTATCTTAAGGTGATCATAGTTTCAGAGCACTGGTATTTTAAAAAAATGTATGAAGATAAACGTATTTTTTAACAAGCTCTTTAAGTGATTCTAAAGCAGCATTACCAGTGTTTGGGCACTGTTGTATGTCTGTCTGTGGTTACATAGCAAGTACAGGGGTGAGTCTATCCACTGGAAGTCACACACTGGGTAGTAAATCACATTGCTGGGTGTGGGCTGTGTAGCCTCCCACTCTGGGAGACTTTCCTGTCCTTCTTGAGCATTTTAACACCTCTGAGATCCCATTAAGGTCGCTAAGGGGTATAATGGTGGTTGTCAGGAAAATTTCCTTACGAAAATCAAGGAATTTTACGTTAATGGTCAGCTGTGACCACTTAGAGTTTAAGAAACCTGAACCTCAAGTGGTGTAAAGCACCTCCATTCTGTATTACCATTGGCCTTGGCTTTGCTGGCCCACTCGGAGACGTCATCCTGAGCCCGTCCGTCTGTGAATACGATGGCCACTCTGGGCACCCGTGTGGAGAGGGGCCTGGCCCCTTCTACTTGGGTAAAACTTCTCTCAAACATGTGTTTCAGGGCCAGCCCCGTCATAGAGCCCTTGCCCATGTACTTCATGTGGGCTACAGCTTTCTTCATGTCTTTGGCGGAGTTGAAGTTTCTCAGGGTAAACTCTGTGCGGACCTGCGTGGAGTACTGGAGCAGCCCCACTCGAGCAGCTTTGGGAGAAATTGCCAAGGAATCTATAATTCCAGTGACAAACTGCTTCACGATCTCAAAATTCTCTTCTCCAAGGCTCTTGGATCCATCAATCACAAAGACCAGGTCAATTGGTCCTTCAGTGCATCCTACATGAACAAAAGGAAAATTGATCTGATTGGGTAATTAAAAATCATTTACGAAAAAGAATAGAAAATTGTGCTCTAATTGGCGGCATAACTGCTTTGGAGAACTACCTTGGTTTTTATTTAGACAATACACAGGACACGGAGCTCCAGTTGTGCAACCGGTTAGCGCATGGTACTTAGAAGACAATTCACAGGACAGATGAGGTGTTGGGAATGTCACAAGCAACAATCATTTTCATATATACTTTTATGTTTGGCTTGTCAAATCAGTAAAAATAGTAATTTTCATAACAAAAACACACAGCAGATGTACAAATCATCTAAGAAATCAATCCCACATTGTACCCTAATCAGTGACAGCCAGGTCTCCGAGGTACAGTGGGTACACTGAAGGGTCTGACTACACTCTAACCATTCCTATCACTTCATGCTGGGAGGATGACATCACATAAGTGCTGCCATGCTGAGTGACAAAGGAGAAGGAGATTCTTAAAATTCTGCTCAGTCATCATCTCTTCCAAGGATGGTTTCCTAGTAACCCAGATTGCATTAGCTGAATACCCGTAATTCTATCAATTTACTCAACCAAAATTTATTGAGCATCTGCCTTGTGCAAAACAGTAGACATAGCAGGATTATGGTTGTGACAAAGACAAATGTCTAATGCCAAGTTGCTTACAGTCCAACGTACTGGATGCAGCATTCCACGTTGTACAATAATTATTTTATTATGTGTTTGTCTCCTCCTTTAGTCTGTGAGTTCTTCCTCAGTAGAGGCTGGATTTCATTCATTTCTGTGCCCCTAATGTCTGGCACACAATAGGTGTTCAATAAACGTTGATTGACAGAATAAAAGAATGAGGCAGTATCTATTGGTTAGTGGGTAGCACACCTGTAAGTACTTCCACTGCCCTGTTAAAGCTTAAAAATGAAGCTCACTGTGAATTCTGTATCTATACCAAAGATTTTTGAGCAATGCAGATGGTTGAGGGTAAAAGAGAAAAACGTTATGCAAATACTTAAGCAATTTGGGTGTGAGGAGAAGAAGAATTTCCAGATCCCAAATGGATGAGATCATTTCAAATAGACCACAGTATATTATTATAACATTCTCTTTTCTATATCAAGCTGCTGTCTAATCTTTCAAAGTGAAGCATAACAATACAAGCAAGTAAAGACCCATTTTTATGCCTGGCTGGTATAACATGCTAATGTAATCGTGTGTGTATGTATGAATCTTGGGGACTGGGGGCTTGGGGTCCTTCTCTCTCTCTCCATTAAGTGCTTGTCTTCATTATTCAACCTATTGATTCTTTATTAGTGAAAGAGGAAAAGGCCAATTCAAAGCTTCATTTACATTCATAGCCTGTTTCTGAGTCAACCAGAAAAAGACTCAGCTGGCCTGCATGTGCTTCTCCAGCAGATTTCAGAAATACTGGTACAATTTACCAGCAGCAAAAATTCCTTCCTGCTCCTCCTGTATACCAGCCCTTGCAGCCTCCCCACAGAGGGCTGCATAAAGGCTCCTCAGGAAGACAGGAATGCCAGAGAGAGCAGAAAATGTCAGAAGCACCCAGACCCTTCTTTGCTTTCCGCCCCACTTGCCAGGTGCTTGTTTGCAGGTAGACCAGTCATGCTTTCTTTTGGCATTTTCTTTATGGTAGTTCATTTATGAGCTGTGATTTACTTTCAGAACATAATTTTCACAGGGTTCTAGAATTTCAGAGTTAGATAAGACCTTGGCAGGTCATCTACTCCAGGCCTGCTGTGGTCTGAACTCCTCTCTTTATGAGAATCTATCACCCCACGACCAAAGCCCTGTCCTCAGACCACTCTGCCTGTAATGACTGCAACAGTGATCATTCATTGAGCACTTTCTGTATACCAGCCCTGGAAGACAGGGTCTCACATATTCTGCATTCTGGCTACGTGAGCTGTTATCCCCATTTTACAGAGGAGGAAACAGACTCGGAGAAGTTAAGTAGTCTGACCAGGCAGTATGGGTGGGCATTCTAACTTGAAGTTCATGCTCTGAACTAATTAATCATGCATCTTTCCTAATAGAAAGTTTTTTTGTCTTCATGCTGAGCTGTAGCTTCTCCCTTAGGGCTGTCCCTGGGGTAGGGGTGTCAGATAAATCATGAACAAGGAGATAGTTATTTGGTGTTTGAATGGTATCTCACGTATTTTTATTTTCTATAAAGTTTCCCAGTTTCATTCTTTATTTACTGCTAGATATGAAACCAAATCCCCTCACCATGGTGCTTATTTTTTCTAAGTTATGTTTATCTTATTCCTTTAAATTTTCTGAAAAACAATACATGTACATAGAAAAATTCAAAAATTTCAAAAGGACATATGTGTATGTGTTACAGTCTTATACAAAATACAGCAATGGTAACATAATAAAAACTATTGATCCTTATGCTTTTTTCATTTACAATATCTCAGGGCTATGTATAGAGCGTCTTCATTCTTTTTTAAAATATATATTTATTTTAGTTGTAATCAAACCTTTATTTTATTTATATGTGGTGCTGAGACTCGAACCCAGACCTTACACATGCTCGGCAAGTGCTCTACCAATGAGCCACAACCCCAGCCCCTGCTTCATTCTTTTAACATCTACATCAAATCTCATTGTATAGATTTACCATAATTTATGTAACCCAGGGATTGAATCCAGGGATGCTTAACCACTGAGCCCATCCCCAGCCCCCCGCCCCTTTGTTTTCTTTCTAACTTGAAGTTCATGCTCTGAATTAATTAATCATGCATCTTTCCTAATAGAAAGTTTTTTTGTCTTCATTAATTTTTGAGATAGGTTCTCACTAAGTTTCTGAAGCTGGCCTCAAACTTGTGATCCTTCCCTGAGTTGCTGGGATTACAGGTATATACCATACATCTGGCCCTTAATGAGACTCTTAAGGGTAGACATTTAGCTTGTTTTTTGCTGCTACAAGTAATGCTACACAAAATATCCACATGCATATGCCTTTGTGAACACACACACATCTGTAGGATAAACTCCTAGAAGTAGAATTGCATTTAAAATATGGCTAAATTGCCCTCCTAAAGGTTGTGCTAATTCAGATATCCACTGATCTGTTTATAATTGCCTTTTTTTCTTTTTTTTTTTTGTACCGGGGATTGAACTCAGGGGCATTAACCACTGAGCCACATCCCCAGCCCTATTTTGTATTTTATTTAGAGCCAGGCTCTTACTGAGTTGCATAGCCCCTCACTTTTGCTGAGGCTGGCTTTGAACTCATGAACCTCCTGCCTCAGCCTCCTGAGCTGCTGGGATTACAGGCATCCGCCACAGCACCCGGCTTATAATTGCCTTTTACAACCTATCTTTGCCAACATAGGAACAATCAAACTTTGTGAAATCTGATAACCAATAGGTTAAAAAAAAGTATCATAGTTTTAATCTCTTAATATATATTTTTCCTTTTTTCTTTTATGATTTTTAAGTTGCCTGCCATGTTTAAAAAGAGATTCTCTGGGATTATCAAATAATTCTCTCAAGACTTCCTTTGCTATTTGGTGGTTTTATTTTATTTACGTTTCAAGCTTTGATCCATCATCTCATCTCTCTTTTCCTAAAGTACCATTTGCAGAACTAGCATAGTCCTACCTCTCCCAGCCAGATACTCTTCCTCAGTCAAAGATCACTCCAGCCTTTTGGCTGATAATGAACTGTCAACTAAAACCGAAAGTGCTTTCGCAGGTGCTGCTACAGTTACACCTCCTCCCCCACCCTCTGTGCACACACACTCTTCTTTATGGGAGAAGCAGAGGTGCCTGAAAATAGTCCAAAAGGCAGATGCTCCAAAGCCAAGAGAAAGCAGAGCCAAGTTCTCATCACTTACTCTTGCACCGCCTTCCATCCTCAGCTAGAACAAATCCCTCTGAGCACTTGCAGATGTAGGAATTGCCATTGTTGACACAAATGTGTTCGCAGCCGTGAGGGGTTGATTTGCAGACGTCCTTCCCTGAGGAAAATGTGGGGAGGTAAACAATCCCACCAGTCAGAAAAGAGCTGGCATGAACAGTCACACGTGGAGAGGTTGAGGAAATAGTCACTTAAAAAAAAATGTGCAAACCTTCTGTTTGGGGATGTGGGGCAGGGGCAGAGGTGGGTATTAGGGCACTCAACCACTGAGCCACATCCCAGCCCTATTTTGTATTTTATTTAGAGACAGGGTCTCACTGAGTTGCTCAGTGCCTTGCTTTTGCTGAGGCTGGCTTTGAACTTGTGATCCTCCTGCCTCAACTTCTCAAATCACTGGGATTACAGGCGTGTGCCACCGTGCCCAGCTGTGCAAACCCTCTAAATGGCATCTTTTTTAGTCTCACATTTGGATAGCCCAAGATCAGGGATAAGCTCCTCCTCCCAAGAAGCTCCAATTCCCACAAGTCTGAATGGAAAGATGGGTGACTGGGTGTCCTGGATTTACTATCAAATTAGAATTGTTTGCTGAGCTTTAGCTCCTGATTTCTCTCCATGGAGATCCCAAACACTGCATTTTGTTGGTCTATGAACATTTCTCGTGTGTGAGGTTATTTTGAATTTTTTAAAGTAGTTACAGCCCTTTGATTCTCACCACCTCTGGGAGGAAAGGAAGATGGAATAGTTCTACTCAAGGTATAAATGAAAAAACGGATCCTCAAAGAGTTTCACTGAGCTGCCGAAGGTCATCCAACAAGCCGGTGGCCCAGCTGAGGCACAGCATCTCCTGAGTCTTCCTCAGGCGACCCATAGACAACCCTTTGGCTCTTTATTAGCCCTTTAAAAGGAGAAGCCCCACACAAAATTGGAATCAACAACTACAGAGCCCTCTAGGAAACAGGAACGGTGGGATATGACTTAGTGATCAAATTCCAGAGGTAGAAGCTGTATCTGGTGCAAAACACCTCAACTTACTAAGCAATCAGGATGCTGAGTGAATAGATGGTATGTGGGTGTGCAGTAGGGGGTTATACCCATGTTCAAGAAATAAAAGCAGGAACAAATGGATCAGGCAGACATAATGAGCAGAAGTGTGGATGTGGTCTCCAAAGAAGGGAAACCATAGTGTTAGCTAAGACTGAGAATGCTGGGGGGATGCCTGCAATCAGACCAGGGCTCCAAGCCTGCTAGGAGTGGGTTGTTCACATAGAACTTGTTGCTACAGGAAGGAGCCCTCTTCCTGAGGCAATAATGAGGGCAGTGGAGCTTGGGTTGTGGCTCAGAGGTAAAGCACTCGCCTAGCATGCAGGAGGCACTGGGTTCGATCCAGCACCACATAAAGTAAAATAAAGACATTGTGTCCACCTATTAAGAAAAAAAAAAAAAAGAATGAGGGCAGTGACTTCCACCCCCACCTGGCTGTGTCAACGTGGGGTATGGCTCTGCAGGAAATCCCCCCTAAATCAACCTTAAAAGCAAAGGGACTGATTTTGCCTTGCCCAATAAAGGACCATTCTGCCCACTGGGGCACAGCGTGACCAAATCAAGTAGAGATTGTGAAAACACCCCCAGGGCTGGGTGCGGTAGCAAAAGCCTGTAATCCCAATGGCTGGGAGATGAAGGCAGGAAGTTGCAAATTCAGCCAGCCTCAGTAACTTAGTAAGGTTCTAAGCAGCTTAGTGGGAGAGCCTCAAAGTAAAAGATAAAAACGGCTGGGGATGTGGCTCAGTGGTTAAGTAGCCCTGGGTTCAATCCCTGGTACCATTAAAAAAAAAAAAAAGGAAAACTGATAACTCATAGACAGAATTTCATGGTGAAGATAAATCCCTGCCCTATGCTTTCCTTCTTCTTCTTCTTTTTTTTTTTTAAGAGAGAGTGAGAGACAGAGAGAGATAGTGAGAGAGAATTTTTTTTTATATATTTATTTTTTAGTTTTCGGCAGGCACAACATCTTTGTATGTGGTGCTGAGGATCGAACCCGGGCCGCACGCATGCCAGGCGAGCCGCTACCACTTGAGCCACATCCCCAGCCCTCCTTCTTCTTTTTTAATCTTAGGGTTTTAAAAAAATTATTTATTTTTATATAGTCCTGAGGATCGAACCCAGGGCCTCACATGTGCTAGCCAAGCACTCTACCTCTTAGCCACAACCCAGCCTGGACCTTGTACTCTTCTAATGCCCTCCTCACTTAGCTGGTGCATCCACATCTCTATCTTTCTTGGGGACTAGGATGGCTACTTTTATGTGCCACCTTGGCTAGGTTTTTGTGCCTGGTCATTTGGTCAAACGCCAGTCTAGATGTTGCTGTGGAGGTAATTTTTAGATGAATTGACATTTAAACTGGTAGACTTTGAGTAAAGCAGACTACCCTCCATAATGTGGGTGTGCCTCATCCAAACAGTTGAAGACCGTAAGAGAAGAAGACTAAGGTTCCCCAAGGAAATAGAAATTCTGCACCTAGACCACTTTCAGACCCTGGTACAACATCAGCTTTTCCTGGGTCTCCAAGCCTGCTCTGCTCACATCATACTTTCCATTCCCCACATTCCCAAGAGCCAAGTCCTTCAAATCAATCTCTCTTCTTCCCTCCCATCTCTTCCCCTCTCTCTCACATACAATAGTCTTGTTTCTTTTTAATATTTATTTTCTAGTTGTAGTTGGACACAATACCTTTATTTTATTTATTTATTTTTATGTGGTGCTGAGGATCGAACCCAGGGCCTCGCACATGAGAGGCGAGTGCTCTACCACTGAGCCACAATCCTAGCCCAGTCTTGTTTCTTTGGAGAACCCTAATACACTTTCCAGCCAAACTCTAAGAGTCTGTTCTGAGTCATCTATAGAAGCAAGTGATAGAAAGAATAGATTCAAGGACCAAAGGATAACTACAGTTCTTTTTTCCTCTTGGCAGAACTTATAAGTAATGATAAAGGGTGGGAGAGGGTCTAAGGGAGTTTTCTGTGGGTTTTTGAGTAGTGACTGCTGGCAGAGATTCTAATTCCTCCCAATGACTAGCAGGCACTGTGCTGGGCTCTGGGCATCCACACAATGAGAATGGAAAAGGCTGACAGCTGAGAGAAGAGAGAGAGAAGCAAAGAGCCTGACAACTCAAGATCCACGTAGAAATTCCCAAAGAACCAAGGTCTGAATGACTTGATCTCAGACCAAGGTAGGAAGTCTTATTCGTGATACTGGTTAAAAGTTTTTAAAAGGAAGATTTTAAAGATTAAATGAAGATCTGTAGCTGCCTGAGCACCACAGACGGAGAGGCGCTCCACCCGAGGCTACTTACTTCTACAGCGCTTCCCATCCTCCGCCAGCCTGAAGCCCTCCAAGCACTTGCAGATGAACGATTCCTCACTGTTCACACAAATGTGCTCGCAGCCATGGGCCACATCTTGGCAGACGTCTTTCCCTAAGGAGGGCAGAGCCAGTCAAAACAACTGCACCAACAAAATTTTACCTGGACTTGTAGGATCCTTCCATCTTGGCCACTGCACCCCAGTGCCACTTGAGCTGATGGTAAAACTAGGGGATGAAGTTTAGGGGCTTTCGTAAGGGCTAAATCTTCCAAGTTTCTCACTAGCATCACCTTCATCATTTGCCGGCACCTACTTCAGTGTCTTATTGAAATGCAATCCATCATCAGCTTTCTGCAGACGTTGCTTCTGATACCAGAATGGAAACACTGTTGGTCTGATTACTTAGGAGATTAAACTTCAATTTAGATGAGCATCACTGAAATCTAATTTTGGCTTTGTCCCTGACATAATATATGACTTAGGAGAATCACTTAACCTCCTGGAGTCTTAGCTTTCCTGTCTGAAAAACGAGGGTAATAATTTCAGTTACTCATCTTTTCTTCACATAGTGTCAATTAAGTTGCTCTCTGGAAAGGGCTTTGGGAAGCTTGAGGAAGAAATGACCGTTAGGGATGGGAATCATCTGCCCAGGTCACACCTCTCCCTTTGGTTATACCAAGATGTGTGTGGAGATTTACACCCGCAGTTAAGGTATGCTAGGGCTACTTGTCCTAGTCAGGCCCTATGTAAGAGGCTCTGCTTTCCGAAACAAGAATGACCTCCAGACAAGGCGGCCTCCATGAGGGGACTGGTGCTACCAGAAATGACGACAACAAAATTATTAAAGGTAAATAAGCAGAGGTTCAGAGAAGTTAAACAACTTTCCCAGCTAATAAATGGCTAATCAAAAAGTAGATTAAGGGGTTACGGATGTAGCTTAGTGGTAGAGTACTTGCCTAACATATACAAGGCCCTGGGTTTAATCTTCACTACTACCACCAAAAAAAAAAAAAAAAAAAAATTAAACCTTGGATTTCTTTTCTTTTTTTTAAATTGGTACTAAAGATTAAACCCAGGGACACTTAACTACTGAGTCATATCCCCAGCTCATTTTTATATTTTATTTAGAGACAGGGTCACACGAAGTTGCTTAGGGCCTGGCTAAGTCGCTGAGGCTGGCTTTGAACTCATGTGGAGTCTTCCTGCCTCAGCCTCCCGGGCTGCTGGGATTGGAGGCATATGCCACTGTGCCCAGTTTAAACCTTGATTTTTCCAGTGTACATCTTTCTGCAAGAGTATACTGCTAAACCTCTTGTTATGATTTGGATCTTAAATGTGCCCCCCTATAGTTCATGTGTTCAAAGTTTGGTCCTCAGCTGCTGATGACATTGGAAGGTGATAGAACACTGAAGTAGGTCATTGAGGGTGTGACCTTGAAGGGTATATTGGGACCCAGACCCTTCCTCTCCTCTAAGTGAGCAGCTTTGCCTCACCATGTGCTCTCCACCATGATGCTCTGCTTTACCATAAGCCTAAAAGCAAAGGAGCCTGATCATGGACTGAAACCAAGAGTCAAAATAAATCTTTCCTCCTTTTAAGTTGCTTATCCTCAGGTATTTTGTCACAATGACAGCAAACTAACACATTTATATGACACAGAGCATATAAATGAGCAACTTCAGTTACAGCTCTGGCAATGACTTCCTTTTTATTTTATTTTTTTCCTTGCTTGTCCATATTTCTTTAATAGACTTATTCACTAACTTAGGTGCTGGGAATTGAATCCAGAACCTCAACGTATGCTAAACACATGCTCTACACTGAGCTCTAACCCCAGCCCTAGGCTTTATTTTTCAGGACAGTTTTAGATTTACAGAAAAAAATGAAAAACAGTACAGAGAATTCCCATGTGCCCCACACCCATGTTTATTATTAACATCTTAAATAGTATGGCATCGTTTTTATGATAAATGAACACACATTACTACATTATTAACTAAAGTCCATAGCTTATTTACATTCACTTAGGGCCTCCCTAAGTATCCTTTTTGTGTTTCAGGATCCCATCCAGAACCCCACAGTGAATTTTGAAAGTAACTGATTTATACGGAGATCAGAACAGTGAATTTCTTGCCACGGTCTGACTCAGAGTAATGTGAGCCCGTGCCAGTAAAACTTACTTTTGCAGGTTTTCCCATCGTCACGGAGTATATACCCTTCAAAGCACTGGCACACAAACGAGTCTTCACTGCTTACACACGAATGTTCACAACCATGGTTCCCCAAAGCACAAGAGTCCAATTCTGAGGATCAAATTAGAATTGGAAAACCAGAAGAAAATGACTCATACGTTAATGACTTATTCATTCATAAAAGACATTTCAGACACCTTCAATTAAAGCAGTGTCTTTTCCCACAGGGCACATTTCAGGATAGAATGTGTGTCTGTGAACAAAAATTCTTAATACATACAGAGCACACACAAACAAAATAATACGATCACCTCCACAGCAAAAATGAACAAAAAAGACAGTTTACAAAATGAGAGATATAAATAGCCTATAAATATTAGAAAATAAGCATAACTTCAATGGCTGTCACATTTTATCAATTTATTTACATTTCTATGTAAGCATCTTTGACTCACACGTAGGTAATCCATTCATTCATTTGTTCAGTCAACAAATATCCTGTGAGTTCCTACTTGAGCCAGGCACTGTTCTAGGCTCTGGGGATAGAACAATGAACACAACAAAGTTTCTGCTTTGGGGAAGCTTTATGTCTAGTAGGTGAGATGTGTGGAAGACCAACAGACAAACACATATGTGATATCAGGTGGGGAAAAGTGCTCTAGAGAAAAAGCAGGATATAAAGAGTGGCTGGTAGGTTGGAGCTTTTTACATGCAGCCAGATAAGTTGGCACTGAGCAGAGCCCTAAAGAAAGAGAAGAAGTAAGCTGGGCGGCGTGGTGCACTCCTTTAATCCCAGGGGCTCGGGAGGCTGAGGCAGGAGGATCACGAGTTCAAAGCCAGCCTCAGCAAAAGTGAGGAGCTATGCAACTCATTTCCCCAGGACCCCTACCAAATAAATAAATGAATAATAAAGAAAGAGAGGGAGTGAGTGGTGGTGCCTGGGGAAGAGCATTGCCAGCAAGAAAGAAGAGCATTTGCCCAGTGCCTGGCCAGGAGAGAGCCAAGCAGGCCACTGCAACCAGAGCTGGCCAGGGAGGGAGGGCAGGGAGGGCCAAGGACGGAGCATGTGGGATTCACAGCAGGGCAGGACTGAGTGAGAAGCACAGTCACTGGAGCAGTGGAGTGACATGCCATGACTTCATTTGGAAAGGACTGATCTGCTTATAATGGAGTGTGGGGGAGGATGGTGGAGAGCGGAGCCCTGGGAACGGCCAACTGCAATCATGCTAGCAGCTCAGAGCAGGCTGGTGAGACATGGTCAGACTGTGGCTATGTTTTTTGTTTTGTTTTGTTTTGTTTTACTATTTATTTATTTATTTATTTATAGTTTTGGATGGACGTAATACATTTGTTTAATTTATTTTTATGTGGTGCTAAGGATCGAATCCAGTGCCTCACACATGCTAGGCCAGCACTCTACCACTGAGCCACACGCACAGCCCCTGTGGCTATGTTTTGAAGGCAGAGCCTCTATTTGCTGATGGATTGATAGAGAATATTTTCACATGGACAAAGCAGAAGAGTCAAGGATGACCCCAAGGTTGCTGGATCCAGCTATTGAAAGATGACATTGCTCTCTATAGGACTGGGAACTTTCTGGAGAACCGGAAGATTTGTGCACCTGTTAAAATCCTGATGCTAAGGACAGTGACTCTGTATAAGAACCATACACATTTCGGAGAGGCAACTCAATCCTCTTAGAGTGAGTAGACTTTCCACAATGCATATGCATATTGAAGGCAACAAGGCTCCAAATCACATGATGAATTTTATAATTAAGCACGAGCCATATACCTTTTTTGTGAAGCATTTTTGCAGGATTTCTTCTTGGAGGGGAGCCCTCAGAACCACCCTGGGGGTTAGTCAAGGCAGAGACTCTTATTTTCATTTACTACCAAGGAAAAATAAGGTTTTGGAAGGCTGATACTGCCTCTCCAAGACCAATTATTAATAACTGGAAAAATCAAACTAAAAATGTTATTTTATGATAATAAATCTCATGTTTTTCCTGACTATACTGCATTGCTATATGCTAAAGTAAGCTTTCCAGCAAGAGAGGAATTATGCCTCTCTTTCTTCGGGCCGAAGCGCTGCCAAAATCTTTGAACAATGGGAAAATGTTGTTAACTGAATTTATAACTGCAGAAGAGATTCGAAACAAAGTTGGAGACTCTCGTTTGCTCGAACATGATTTGCTTCTCTGGGCACATTCTGAATTCATTATTAATGCAGAACATTTCCCCCACGGCTTGGGGTAGTTCCTCACGTAGTGGAAAGTACAACTGAGTGATCCATAACACAGATGGCTGGCTGGCTTGCGGTTGGGGCAAGCTTCCCGCACACCCCATCCCCACCCCAATGCATCTCTAATAAGGATACTCTATTTCCAAGGTAATAAAATAGCTATAGTTCTTCCAGGCCAGCTGGCCCTGCCAAGCCATAATCCAGACCCCTCTGAGCATGCCCTTCCTCCCCCCACCCTGCCCTCTTAGCTTCAGCTTAGTTATTCTTCTTGAAGAGCGGTGGGAGTCTCCCCCATCAGACCTAAAAGCTGCTGAACCCCAGGCTTTCCTGAGCCAGGGTGACCCCAGTCTGCATCTAACAGATGGGCACTGCTTTCCCTTATCAGAGGCAGCAGAGGAAGAAGCCATGTGCCCACAGGGCATGTCTTCACCCTTGGCTACAGGCCACTGAGCTCCCAGCCCAGTTGCTCAGTTCTCCTGGGCTTTCAGACTAGTAGCTGTTGGGAATTTTTGTTGTGTGCATGCTTTAAAAGCATGTGGGGAGGCCTAGCGGGTACAGCACAGTGGTAGAGCGCTTGCCTATCATGCATAAAGCCCTGGGTTTGATCTTCAGCAATAGCCCCCTGGGGGGAAAAAAACCCAGCATGTGTAGAGTTTTTACAAAAAACTGCTGCCCTCCCCTCAGAGCACCTGATTAATAGAGTAGAGAGGGTGAGTTCTCACTCTCAGAGGATCACCAGAACCTCCTGCAGAGACAATTTTTTAAAGCAAAACAGGCACGTGGGCACACAGTTCCAAAGTCAAATCTACTAAAAGGCATGTTTCCCTCTGGAGGAGTATCTGGCAGTACCTATCAGAGTTCCAAAATGCACCTCTAACCTAGTAGCTTCACTTCTGGAACTCTCTCTTATAGACACCCTTGCATAATGTGAAGGGAAATATTTCCCAAGTCGTGTGTGGTAGCACTGTTCGTAATAGTGAAAACGCAAAACAGCCCCAAATGTCCAGCTACAGGGCATGGGCTGTTGGAGGCAAGCTTCCCCGCACCCCCCACCGCCATGCATTTCTAATAAGAATATTCTATTTTCCAAGGTAATAAAACAGCTTTAGTTCTTTCAGGAGGATTGAGAGTTCAAAGCCAGCCTTAGCAAAAGTGAGGCACTAAGCAACTCAGTGAGACCCTGTCTCTAAATAAAATACAAAATAGGGCTGGGGATGTGACTCAGAGGTCGAGTGCCCCTGAGTTCATTTGCCGGTACCAAAAACAAATATAAAAATAAAAATAAACAAATAAAGGCATTCTGTGCATCTACAATTACAAAAAAAATTTTAAAAGGAATAATGAAATTATGGCATTTGCCAGTAAATGGATGAATGGAGACTATCAAGCTAAGTAAAATAAGCCAATCCCCCCAAATCAAAGGCTGAATGCTCTCTCTGATATATAAATGCTAACACACAATAAGGGGGTGGGGGAAGAATAGAAGTTCATTGGATTAGACAAAGGGGAATGAAGGAAAGGGAAGGGAAGGATAGGGATAGGGGATAGGAAAGACAGTAGAATGAATCCGACATAACTTTCTTATGTTCATATATGAACACATGACCAGTGTAACTTCACATCATGTACAACCACAAGAATGGGCTTCTAAGTTATACTTCACGTATGTATAATATGTCAAAATACACTCTACGGTCATGGATATTTAAAAAGAACAAATAAAAAATATCTAACATCATCATCTTTAAAGATTGCATTGCAATTCATTTAACCAATCTCTTATTTGATAGACATCTAGGTGGTTCCTAGTCTTTTGCTATTATAAACACTATTGTAATAAATATTTTTGCACACATAGTTTTGCATATGATATGAAGATATATCCAAAAAAAAATACACCCGGATGTGGGATTGCCTGGACAAAGGGTCTGAACATTAAAAATTAATAAATATTTCTAAGGTATTCTTCAAAGAAGTTATTTCAATCTCTACACCCACCAACAACGCAAGGTATTCTCTGTCATGGTTTCTAATTCAGGGTGTCTGGGGTGTTGCCTGGGTCTTAGATTTTTTTAAAAGCCCCATCAATGATTCTGTTAAACCCCCAGGGGTAAGATGTTGTCAGTGGACCCAAAACTTTTAATTAGTGACCTTCTCAAGTGTCCCAATTATTCTTCCTTTACCATCATGGACCAAAAGCACTCATCTTTCTCTTGGGTTGTTATATCAACTACTAACTGATCTCCACATCTCAACTCTCTATAGTCGGTCCTCCCCGTGGATCCCTGGGTGCTCTTTGCAAGATGCAAATCTGCTCACATCACTCTTCTCCCTGCCTAGGATCCCTGAATGCTTTTTGAATTCCAGTAAGACAGGAAATCCTTGACAGGGCTGGCACAACCTGCCCCCCAACCCCACCACCCCCACAGTCCTCTTGGCTTTAGGGTTTTGCATAGTCTTCCCTCCCCAGAAGGTTCCTCCACTTCCACTGTCCTCTCCTGAGTCACCTCTTGCTCTTTTTCCAGCTCACTACCCTGGTCTCTCCACAAAGGTCTCAAAGTTTGGTTTCTTTGCCCTTTTCAGTAGTATCAAATTATAGTTGAACATCTATTTATATGATTTGGGGTTGGTCTGAGTCCTCTCCTCGTGGGCTATGTTATGGTTTAGATATGAGGTGTCCCCCCATAAAAGCTCATGAGTGAGACAATGCAAGAAGGTTCAGAGGTGAAACGATTAGATTATGAGAGCTTTAACCTCATCAGCAGATTAATCCACTCGTCTGGATTAGCTGGGTGGTAACTGTAGGCAGGCAGAATGTGGTTGGAGGAGGTGGTCACCGGGGGCATGCCTTTTGAGTCTGTATTTTG